CCCCAAAACCCCAAAACCCCAAAACCCCGTATAAACTCCTCTTGCTGAACTCCTAATAAAAATTAACCTAAGCATGGTTTTATTTCCTAAATGCACAGTGACTCCTAAATGTGGCACTATAGCCTATATGGTTAGGAAGAAGGGCGCTGATCCTTTAAGACATGATATGTTTATATGTGAGAATTGTATGGCTACTGCTTTTTGTGGTGAAGATTGTGAACCGATTCCTAAGATGGAGCCTATTTATGAGTGACTTCAGTCAGGTGAGTAGGATAGGAGGCTGGGTAAGGGAGCGGAAGGGAGTTGTGGAGGGTAACGAGCGGGAGTTTTGGGAGACGGGATGGAGGGTAGGGTGGCGATAAGGGAGATTTTTAGAGAAAATGGGTGATTAATTATTGTTTTGAGGGATTTTTAATTATTTGGATAGCCGAGTTCAATATCAAGGAGATTACAAGGTTTAAAGACCAGCATAAGTTGCATATTATGTGGGATGGTCTGAATGGAGAGCTGAACAGCTTCAAAGAATCACTTTTACAGTTGAAATGTAAGATATTTCATTACAATTTTTGAATATTTTCTCCATTGCTTTAATTTAATTATGAATTCCGATATTTTTTTAAGTATCAATCTTTTATTTATCACATCTAAATTTGGTCAGGATTTTGATAGAATAGCTAGTATCTTTGAGACAACTGAGCATGACAAATAGTAGGTGCTATAAAGTCATTAGCTTCTACTTACATCAACTTTGATCAGTCTTTATTTTATCAACAACTCACTTTACTTTTAGTCAGATTGAGTGACATCAAAGACAACAAGCAATGGAACCTGCTAGTCGACTTCCAAACTGACGCCAGAGCATTTCTAGACATTATGCTCGACTCCAAACTAATGAGATACTACTGCAGAGAACAACAATTCAGATCCTTCCAAGACTTCAAATCAGGCTCTAGCATCCAAACCAGAGACACCCAAAAATTCCTTCGCTCAAAACTTGCTGATTTCCAAAAATCCGTCCAAACCAACCAAATCGCTCCTCTCCAGTCAAAACTCGACGAAGCCACTCAAGAAGCCCTCTTGACCAAGACCCAGCTCCACACAACAACTCAAGAGAACACCAGGCTCCAGCAAGAAGTCCAGGAGCTCACTCAGGTACGTTCAGACTTCACTAAAATTCCGAATTTTTGTTCTGTGATTTCCACTGAGTTCTGGGTTTCAGAATTTTTGGGTTTAGAGTGCTAATGAACAGCAGGAGTTGGTGAGTAGGCTAAATCAGAGGATTCAGACTATGGTAGATGAAGAGGTTAAGTTAAATTTGGCATTTGAGGAAGTTAAGAAAGAAATGAGCGAGCTAGAGAAAACTCTTGAACAATCAAAGCGTGAAATTAGTCATGGAGAACTTAAATCTATTCATAATTCTATCCTTGGAAAGACAGACAACTTTGAAGCATCATCCTGCCTAGGTTTTTAATTTGAATATCGATTCATGAATCAATCTATGTAAAGCTCTTCAGATGTATAGGTTGCCTGCTTTGAGTAATGTTCACTTGGATGAGGTTGATAAGTTCTCTGGGGGAGAAATATTGAGCAGATTCATAGAGAATGCTCTGAGTAAAGACATTAAAATTTTCAAATTCTACTCTCAGAAAACTTCTTGCATCCAGATCAAAGATTATGTTTCTTCATTAAAAAAAGCTCTTCCTAAAATTCCTGATAAGACTGACATTCTCTGTTTCCAGATGACCAAGACCGAATTCGAAGATATTCTAGTGGCAGCTAAAAAATTGCAAACAAATAGAAATTGATCGTTGTAAGATAGATACTAAGCAAGAGCTTGAGTTTGGAGATAGATTAAATGAATCTTCCTTTACTAAATTATACTTGGGAGGTGTAGGTGGCAGTTCTTATAGTAATTGGAGTCAAGATGACTTCCTCCAGTTTAAAAACATTGTCAAAGGGCTGTCCAAGGTAGAACAGCTCAAGAATAGAGCATTTAAGCTGAACCTCAACAGCTGTGGGTTGACAAAAGAGAAGGCTGAATCTATCCTCCAGGAAAACGGAATGACAAACATTACGATCGAAGGACTTTAAAGAACTTACAAAATAAGCATTCTTCAATACCCCTTTATCATCTCGGGGTTTTGGGGTTTTGGGGTTTTGGGG